GGGCCATGCTGTGAGGTTTGTTTCCTCTCCGTTGTCCCTGTGAAGTGATTCCCCCCATCCCAGGTAGCCCTGAACAACCCCTTGCCCCCTGGCTGCCCGTGGGGGGCGGTTATTTGGCTCTGATGGCCCCTCCCCCATTTGCTGTCTGGTTTGTGGTGGCGCCTGTGAGCCCCAGGTGCCCGACATGCAGCCAGACCAGAGCTGTCCCTGCCTGGAGCTGACCTCACCGATCTCTGCCCTGCCAGGCTCTCTGCGTCTTCATGGCGCTCTCCTTGTGCCGTGACGAGGTGAACTGGCTGGTGCGTCATGCTGAGCATGTCACCAGGACCAAGACCCCTGAGGACTACGTCGACAGGGCAGGGCAGGGCCAGGCTTGCAGGAGGCGGTGTGGGCACTGGGGGGATGGGGTCTGGGGTGTCCTGGGCAAGGGGTGGTGGTCCAAGGTGAGGTCTGGTTGTCGGGGGTGGGGTGGGGGTGGGGACAGGCTTTGGGGTGGTCTGGATTTTGGGGACGGGCCAGACCCTGGGTGGGTCTGGTTCTGGGGGTGACAGGCCCTGGTGGGTCTGACTGTCGGGGGCAGGACTGTCCCTGGGTGAGTCTGGCTATTGGGGCTGGGGGACCCTGAGGGCGCCTGGCTCTGCTGGGGGGGACAGGCACTGGGGGGGTCTGGCTCTGTGGCGGGGGCAGGCACTGGGAGGGTCTGGTTCTGTGCGGGGGGGAATTGGTGGGGGCTGGCTCTGTGTGTGTGGGAGGGTAGGCCCATTGTGGTTCTGGCGTGGAGAGGGGGAGGCACTGGGTAGGTCTGGCTCTGGGGACGGGAGGCAGTGGGTGTGTGTGTCTGGCTCTTGGGAGGTAGGCACTGGGGGGGGCTGGCTCTTGGAGGGGGAGACAGACACTGTTTGCTGTGAAACATGGGAGGCCGTGTGGGCCCCATGCTGAGTGGGGTGCACTGAACCCATGGGCCCCCTGGGCAGAAAAGAAGGTCAGGGTCTCCGCTCAGGGCCCGGCAGCGTGGGGGCGTTGGTTTGGGGGTAGGAAATGGAACCAAGTGACATGGCAGCAATTTGTGGCTCTGGTGACAATCCTGTGCCCAATTCAGCCAGCAGCGCGTCCCATACCCCAGCACAGGTGTGCAAAGGGGGCGCGGCTGCTGCAAGGCCCAAGCGGCACCTGCTCTGCCTGGCGCAGCCTGACGGGACACGGGCCAAGAGCGAGCGAGGGAAGATGGGAAATGACCCCTGCGGGGAAGGGGAGACGCTGTGGATCCTGCCTGGGGGTTGGGGAGTTGGCAGCCCCGGCACCGCAGGCCAGACGGCTGCCAGGAGAGCTAAAGCAACTCCCTGTAGCATTGGAAAATACTCTAGCAAAACACTGCAGGAGCTCCGCGGATTATCTTCACAAAGGGCGACTAGATCACGGTCCCTAGAACCTGCAGCCGGGGAAACTGAAAATGGTGCATGGAGGCTCCTCAGTCTAGCAGACAAACGTCTGATGTGCTCCAGCGGCCGGTAGCTGAAGCTAGACACATTCAGGCTGGAAATAATGAAATCTTTGGAGCAGGTTACCCAGGGGCGCGGGGGGTTCTCCACCACTGGCAATTTCGAAAAGGTCTACTCGAGTTCGAACAGGAATGAACTCGGGGAAGTCCTGTGGCCTGCGCTACGCAGGAGCTCAGACTCAGTGGTCAGAGGGGTCCCTTCTGGGCGTGGAATCTAGAGGGGAAGGTGACGTGCGCTTGGCCGGTGGGTTGGTCAGCACTTGCCTGGACACCTGTGTGGAGGCGTGGCAGGAGTCCCGTGGCACCGTGCTGGGCACGGGGCTGCCCTGGGTACCCTGTTTCCAGCTGGAGCTGTCAGATTCGGATCCAGCCCTGCCCACCCCCAGGCGTGACGATATGGGGGGAGGGTTGTGGGATTGGTTCCCCAGTGACTCTTGGCAGCAGGAGCCCGGGTGCAGCACTGTCTCCCTCAGAGGAGCCTGACCCAGCCCCGTGTCACCCCTGCAGTCACATCGCCGAGCTGCTCTTCCTCATGGAGCAGCTGCGTACCCTGGTGCACAGGCATGGCCCAGTGATCCAGCGCTACCACGTCCAGTACCTGGCTCGCTTCGATGCCCTGCTGCTCAGCGATATCATCCAGGTACGGTACCCGGGGGGAAGGGCTCTGAGCTGCAGCCAGGACCCCGACAGTGAGACACGCAACCCTGGGAGGGGAAAATTCCCTGGGGTGTAGGAGCCCTGCACTAGCCAGCCCCATCTCTGGGCAGGAATGCTGCCATCGCCATGGGCTCTCCGCACCCCAGAATGCACCTGCCCAGCTGCCTGCGAGAAGCCCCACTAAGCTGTGCCCGTCTCTTTCAGAATCTGACCGTCTGCCCCGAGGAGGAGTCCATCATCATGTCGTCCTTCGTCAGCACCCTGTCATCTCTCACCCTGAAACAAGGTACGCAGGTGCCCCCACGGCTCCCTGCTGTGCCCAGAGCAGCAGGTCCCTCCATGGGGTGTGCAGGCCCCAGGCCACAGCTCCAGTCCAGAACATAAGCACATAAGAACAGCCATACTGGGTCAGACCAAAGGTCCATGGAGCCCAGTATCCTGGCTTCCGACAGTGGCCAATGCCAGGTGCTCTAGAGGGAATGTACAGAACAGGTAATCACCAAGTGATCCATCCCCTGTCACCCATTCCCAGGTTCTGACATACGGAGGCTAGGGACACCGTCCCGGTCCATCCTGTCTAATAGCCATTGAGGGACCTGTCCTCCATGAACTTATCTAGTTCTTTTTTTAACCCTGTTATAGTCTTGGCCTTCACAACATTGTCTGGCAAGGAGTTCCACAGGTTGACCGTGCATTGTGTGAAGAAATACTTCCTTTTGTTTGTTTTAAATTTCTGCCTATTAATTTCATTTGGTGACCCCTAGTTCTTGTGTTATGAGATGGAGTAAATAACACTTCCTTATTTACTTTCTCCACACCGGTCATGATTTTATAGACCTCTATCGTATCCCCCCTTAGTCATCTCTTTTCCAAGCTGAAAAGTCCCAGTCTTATTAATCGCGCCTCATATGGAAGCTGTTCCATACCCCTAATCATTTTTGTTGCCCTTTTCTGTACTCTTTCCAATTCCAATATATCTTTTTTGAGATGGGGTGACCACACCTGCATGCAGTGTTCAAGGTGTGGGTGTACCATGGATTTATATAGAGACAATATGATATTTTATGTCTTATTATCTATCCTTCTTAATGATTCTCAACATTCTGTTAGCTTTTTTGACTGCCACTGGTGCTGCACATTGAGTGGATCATTCAAATGAGTGGGAAAGTGGGCAGCCCGGATGCCTGGGTTCACCACCCCCTCCGAGGCCCTGTCTCTGCCCCTGCCGCTGGGGGGCAGGAACACAGAAAGTAGGGTTGCCAATTTTGGTTGGATGCATTCCTGGAGATTTCATCACATGACATAATCTTTAATTCTTGGAGACTACAGGCACATCCTGGAGGGTTGGCAACCCTAGCACAGAGGGGAGAGCCCCCCCGGCCATGGGGCCACTGCCACCTCTCTAAAGCTGCTTCTCTTTCCTGCAGTGGACAAAAAGGAGAAGTTCGACTTCTCGGGGCTTCGCCTGGACTGGTTCCGGCTGCAGGTAATTCCCCCGCCAGATGTTTGCATCCCCATTAAGGGCTGGGCATCTGCCAGGGCGCACACACCCCACCCAGCCTCCTGCCAGGCACACACCAGCAATACTTCCCCTGCCCAGCCCACTGCCAGGCCTGCACCAACAACCCCTCCCCTGGCCAGATCCCTGCCAAGCCTGCACCAGCAACCCCTCCCCTCCCCTGCTCAGCCCCCTGACAGACTGCAACTGGCAACCCCTGACCTCCCGCACCCAGCCCAGCCCTCCCGGTTTGGCTGAGAGTCTCCCGGAATCGGGCTCCATCTCCGGGAGGCAACTGAACCAATCCGGGAGATTTTAGGCCACTAAAGTCCGGTCGGCTGCGCAGTGGGGCTAAGGCAGGCTCCTTACCTACCCTGGCTCCGTGCTGCTCCTGGAAGTGGCTGGCATGTCCCTGTGTCCCCTAGGCAGAGGCGGGGCCAGGGGGTCTCTGCGCGCTGCCCCCGCCCTGAGCAGCAACTCTGCAGCTCCCATTGGCTGGGAACAGGGAACAATGGGAGCTCTAGGGTTGGTATCTGCAGGCAGTGGCAGTGCGCAGAGCCACCTGGCTGCCCCTGAGCCTAGGAGCTGTTGCTGGACATGCCATCACTTCCAGGAGCCACACAAGGTAAGTGCTGCCTGGCCGGAGCCTGTACCC